ATGCTGTCATCGCAGAGCCCATCATGAGGCTCCAACTCATGAACTGTGAGATCATAACCTGAGCTGAAATCAAGAGTCAGACACTTAACCAACTGAGACACTCAGGTGCCCCTCAAAAAGATATTCTAGGCTCATCTTGTATTTCCTCCTAAGAGCCCTATCTCCAGATACCATCACATTAGGGATTAGGGCTTCAATATAAGGATTTTGAGGGAATACAATTCAGTTAATAGCACCTACTCTAACTGTTACAGCCATCACAAAGGGCTAATCTTTTAGGGAAACATGAATGTGAACTCAGCTCCAACCTTTCCCCCAGGCTTTGCCTCCTCTGCTCTCTTCATGTAATCAGGCTTCCAAACTGCTGTCATTCTCTTTGTCTCTACCTGTGCTCAGGCTACTCCCTGTGCTGGACTTTCTCCCTGTCCCATCATGCAGCATACGCCCACATGTCCACATTCTCCCTATCATCCAAAATATATCTCAAATACCACCCCTTCTGCAAAACATTTTCTGCTTCTCATAACCAGAAATCATGAATTCACACTTTGGTGTCCCTGGCCTCTTTGATGTGCACTCTCAAGGCATCTGCATCCCAGGGAGGGGAAGTCCCTCATGTAACAGCAAGGCCTTGGAGGTCAGAGAATCAAAAATACAGAAAATAAGAAAATAAAGTTAATGACACCTTCCTTTGCTGGAAACCTGCCTCAAATAACCTCACTGGCAAGGATGCCCATTGGGGAGATCAGGAATGAGCATTTGAAATTGTTTGTAAAATTGGGGCACCTGGTTGGCTCAGTCAATTAAGTGTCCAACTCTTGATTTTGGCTCAGGTCATGTTCTCAAGGTTGGTGAGTTCGAGCCTCACATCAGGCTCTGTGCTGACAACCTGGAACCTGTTTGGGATTCTCTCTCTCCCTCTCTCTGCCCTTACCCCATTTGTGCTTGCACAGTCTCTCTCTCAAAATAAATAAGTAAATTTAAGGAAAAAAAAGGAGGCGCACCTGGGTGGTTCAGTCAGTTAAGCTTCCAACTTCGGCTTATTTCATGATCTCACAGCTTGTGAGTTCGAACCCTGTGTCTGGCTCTGTTCTGACAGCTCAGAGCCTGGAGCCTGCTTCGGATTCTGGGTCTCCCTCTTTGTCTACCCCTCTCCTGTTTGCGCTCTGTCTCTCTCTCAAAAATCAATAAACATTAAAAAATTAAAAAAAAAAAAAAGAAAAAGGAACCATAAGTGAAATCAAAATGTCAGGCCTTGGTAAGAGTAAGGTGGGCAGGCTGCGATGGGAAGGTCATTAAGAGACATTCTTCAGTCCTTGTAATTGCTCTCTGTGCCCTCTTCTCCCTCTGCTACTTCTCTCCCCACTTCTCATGGACTGCTTTGCCTGCCACTCTAGATTTCTCTTCCTCGTAGGCTTTCCCTACTTGTGTTATATCTTCCATGTATATGCCCCCTCTGATGCCTCATGGCCCCATTGTAACTGTGTCCTTTCCTGATAAAATCTCTCAGCTGCTAAGGATCCCCTGATTCTCTCCTTGTACCACAGTTTGCATTCCTAGGAGGGGGCTGTGTTTGGCTCCATACAAACCTGGTAGAGCCAAGATTGTGGTACCTGGGTGTACTGGCAGTTCTTCCAGAAGATGTGGTGGGTATGGCAGGGCCTAGAATTAATGTGTGTCATCGATATTGAGTTTAGGAGGAGGGAAGACATGGGGGCACCTGGGTGGCTCAGCCAGTTTAGTGTTCAACTCTTGATTCTGGCTGAGGTCATGATCCCCACAGTGTGCTCCATGCTGAGCATGGAGCCTGTTTAAGATTCTCTCTCTCTCTCTCTCTCTCTCTCTCTCTCTCTCCCTCTGCCCCTCCCCTGCTCATGCTGTCTCTCTCTCTCGATCTGTCTGAAAGAAAAAAAAGGTACCCTCAAGGAGCATCCACCAGAAGAGAGGATATGGTCCATCTGAACAATGTGATTCATGTGAAAAAGTTCTGTCCAAAATAGCAAAGTGACATATAGATAACGTTCCTTTACTTGTGACGACATTAGTAATAATAGTGACAATAACATCTATCGTGTACATAGTACTTATTAAATGCTAGAAAATTGTTCTAAGTGCCTTATGTATATTTTCTCATTTACTCCTCAAAGCAACCTTTTCAGGAAGGTTTTGTTAATATAATTATTTTATAGATGATAAAACTGAGGCAAAGATGGGTTAAGTAACTGGCCCAAAGACACATGGATAATGACAGAACTAAGATTCAAACCTAGGAATTCTGGCTTGGCTTTCCGTGCTAATAACCACTATACTTTGCTTCTATTTTAAGTGGACAATGTGTTCCATATTCTTCCAGTGTGACATATCAGACTTTCAGAATACCTAAAACTTGGGCATTAAGCTATTCAGTAGTGCATGCAAATCATTTTACTTGATATGTAACTTGTCTGAAAGTTGTTAATATTATTACTGCCGGCAAGTGGCTTTAGTCTAGGGAAAGAATACACGCTTATAAGGTTGCAAATGTGATGCGATTCATATGCATGGTTGACATGTTTAGAGCCCGTCATAGCTTTGTGGGAATGGACTTTTGGGATGGTACGTGGTTTTCCTCGTGACTCAGGCTACCCCTACCCCAGAAAATCTGAGAGCTGCCACATACACAGGATTCACTTCCTTCTTGATGGAGAGCATCACAGTCTTCCGTGGGGAAACTATTAGATTAACATGCCATAGAAAATTTACTTTTGTGAAATTTCACCGAACCAGAAACAGTTGCAACCCTACCTAGTTCAAACAAAAAAAGCTCTCCAGTTTGAGCCCAAACAACCAGATGGTGAACTAGTACATTTTATGCATGTTGCTGATCAAGTATGTTTTCCACAATCTTGGCAGCGAGGGGATACCACTGATAGGGTAAATATGTCACTGATAATTTGTCAGTTTGCCCTACTAATGACAGAAACTGTAACTATCAAAATGATTAAAAAATTATCTAAGCAATAGCTGTCAACCCCGAAATTTTGAAGACCATCTTTGCCATAGAACATGCATGGGGTCAGCAACTACAGTATGAATTCTTCTAGATCTTAGTGGGTACCTACCCCTTGGCTACATGTAATTTCCACTGAAGGCTTATAAGAAGAACCTGTGGGTTTAATGCCTTTCTTACAAGGGTGTATATGGAAAACAAAGATAAGGCTTCCGTTGACTTTTTTTTATCGTGTTCGAGATATATTTATTTTCATTACTGTATTCTTTTCTTATTATTTGTACGAATGTTCCAAATCTAATATGCAGGGCAAAATTATTATTCAAAAAGAATTGTCTCCATTTTATTGAACCAAGATGTAATGTGACCTTTTAGAAGAGAACAGACCCCCATCCTGTGTTTTGTTTGTTTGCTTCATGCACAAAATGAATGCGGTTGTGTCCCTTGAACAAAGCAAGAGATGCACAGAGTAACCTCAGGAAATAGACTGAGTTGAAAGATTTACAAACATAGTGCAGCCCAAGGAAAGATAAATTGTTGATGATACGGCTTCAGAAGCTGAGTCAACAAAGTTGGGAGTCAAAGAAAAAAGATACGCATTTATAGCAGAAAACAAAGAGAGAAAAATCCCCATCTTGAAAGTCACCCCCTTAATATTGAGTAATTGTTAACAGTCTACTTGCTGAAACCCACAATTCTTTGGCAATATTTTAGTATATTCCAGAGAAATCACCGAGATCTGCTGTGCATACTCTTCTACTTCGGCTCCTTCCCAACTGGCCAGATTTCTCTCTTTTATTTATGAGTTTGATTAAAATGTTAACAAAAACTATAGCTAAACTCAAATAATGCACTGGTCTGGGCATAAGGCGTACAAACTGCAAATAAATGTATTTAGTAAGATATTAGGATCTTGCATCAGAAGTACATGTTAAAATATGACTGCGCTGCCCCTGTGAAAAGGAAGTGGTTTTGTTACTTTATTTACCGATTAGGTTTTATTGCAGGCTGTATTATATTCTGACAGTTCTGTAGTGAAAGTGTATTCTGATGCCACTTAGGACGGCAGAGTGGTGCTAAATTTCTCAGAGAACAGAATAAAACTGCTTGGAAAACATATGTTTAAGTCATGTGTGGTTTGTCCAGTTTGGTTCAGAAGTGACTTTGCCTCAAAAGGAAAAAGTGCAATTCCATGAAAGAGGAATGATAAATATTTTTTACCTCTTTCAAAATTTCATTTATTTATTTATTTTGAGAGAGAGAGGGAGAGAGCACAGACATGTGAATGGGGGAGGGGCAGAGAGAGAGGGAGAGAGAGAATCCCAAGCAGGCTCTGCACTGCCAGTGCAGAGCCCGACACAGGACTTGAACTCACGAACCATAACATCCTGACCAGAGCAGAAATCAAGAGTCAGATGCTTAGTCGACTGAGCCACCCAGGTACCCCAGGAATAATATTTTTTTTAAAAAAAAGGAAGAGGAGTTAAAAAACATGGCTTTCAGTATTACATGTCAATTATATCTCAATAAAACTGGAAAATGAAGAATAGAAAGAATAAATCCATGACTTTGACTTTTTTGAGAGAAAAGTGTGGCAGACAATGGGAGAAATCAAAAGTTGGGCAGCAAGCAGTCTTTGTCCTGCAGGAAGCGCCCACTGGTGTGTGGGGTGTGGGGTGCAGGATCGTAGCTTCTCATTTGCCTTAGGGGTCCTCTGGGGAACTTGGAAGGGGCTCCAGTACCACCAACATGTGTAAAACCTTGGATTGAGTAACTTGTTTGGTGAGTGTTCCAGAGGACGAGCAAACGTTTCTAATAAGTTTTAACTGGATAAATGAGTGATGTCTTGCAATGCGAGTCTTACATGATGCTGAATGTCACATGATCACAACTGAGCCAACAGTTCATGCAATTCACTTTGATATACAAGTGGTTTGGATTACAGGCATGTTTCCAGAATGAATTATGCTCACAAACCAAGGTTTTACTGTACTTCATTTCTTCCTCTCAGCTGCCAGACTGAGGTGAGATGCAGCGTGAACGTGGAGCCGGTGCAGGTAGGGGGTTTTTGGTGAATTCTAATATGATAGTACATTTTTGAAGGGATAGACAATAGGGCCCCGGGGACTTGTATCACCACCTTCCTTATCCACTCCATCCCCTTGTTATTTATCCTGTTGTGTCCTCATGAGCTTTCCATCTGGATTCTTAGTCCCGGCCTTTCAAATCCTGCAGGAATGACGCCATTGCCCTTGGGCCTCGAGTCTGATCTCATTCCTCCAATCTGATGTACAAAGTGTGACTAGAGAGTCCTGGCCTGAGACCTATTGTGAAATGAAAGGTCATTTTTAGCATATGGAATCCTTGTCCCTCATCGAAAAAAAATTTCTCTCCCAGTATTAAGCTCTCGCTCTAAAATTTAACAACACTGAAATCTTTATGAATGTGTGAAAGCCGTATATATTACCACTTAATGACAAGCAGTGATGACTATATCAGAATAAGTCAAAATTAGTTTTAAAATAAATTTATTTGGCCATAAATATATCAATGTGACAAGAGTGACTGAGTTTGCTAATCGTTATTCTTGGTTTTACAGACATGAAATTTCTCTTCAAAGGCAAGTGAGAAGGGGGTGATATAGAGATCGGGAGATGAATGAACCCCTGAAGTTTACTTTGGAAAACTTCTGGTTTTTAAACCACATCCAGATTATCAGTGCGGTGCTTTGGAAAGTATCACGTGAGTTACAGTAAACTGGCCTGGTTAAAACAGAAAAAAAAAAGAGGGCATCAATAATTATGTTGAATGAGGGGCACCTGGGTGGCTCAGTTGGTTGAGCGTCTGACTTCAGTGCAGATCATGATCTCACAGTTGACAAGTTCGAGCCCCACGTCAGGCTCTGTGCTGACAGCTCAGAGCCTGGAGCCTGCTTTGGATTCTGTGTTTCCCTCTCTCTCTGCCCCTAACCTACTTCCATTCTGTCTCAATCTCTCTCAAAAATAAATAAACATTAAAAAAAAATTTTTTTTTTAATTTTGAATGAGATTTAAATATATGACCCCTGGTTTTTGTTCCAGATTTGTTGGAGATCACTGTTGTCCACTGTCTTGGCCATTAGGGGACTGATGTAGGAAGAGTGGATACAAGTATTTTCAGCTTGAAAAACATTTATGGTAAGGCTCTGTTATAATTGTATGGACAAAAGCCCGTTTTTAGATATACAGTTCACCCGAATGAAGAGCTAATTAACCTCTACTATGGGAAGATGCTCTTGACAGATGTTTGGCTGTTGAATGTGGCATGGAGGGAGCTATCTCAGGCTGGGATAAAGTATGTAAATCTAGTCCATACCATAGTAATTTGTTACTGGGAAAAGAAAGTCACTGGTATGCGACTCTATAGTACTTATTCTGGGTCTTACTTGGATGTCTTGTGCACAGCGTAGACCTTAATAGCAGCCATCTCCCATGGAGGGTTCATGGCAGCGTGGCAGGTTAGGAAAAGTGGGGGAGACATAACTTGTAATCCCTGAGACAGTTTGTGGAGATTAGTTGTTCTCTCAGCTTCTCAAGAGGAGAAGAGACTGATGGGCAAAGCAAAAGAGAAATCTGGAAGATGATATACAGAACACAAAGTGGCTATGCTACACTGTTTCCACTAAGCCTCCCAGAGTGAGTCACAGCAGGAGGCACAGATTGAAGCATATCAAGGTGTTCTTCAAGAAGTTATCCAAATGCGTAATGTCACACACTGGGAGAACTTGACCACCTCCAGTTGTGAAATAGAAAAATGGCTACTCTTTCCTTTACCAAAATTGGATAGCTTGTTGTTGGTGAGACCAACCTGTATGGTGTCTTCTTTCTCCCCAGCTGAATGGTGGGCATAACTTTTGCCTCTACATTCCTCTGTAGACCAGGAAGGGAAGTTGAATCCAGTGGTGATGTGAGAAAATGGTCCCGGAATTTTCAGAGTACACAGGTTCCTCTGGTCTATGGACGTGAACTCTAGGGTGGTTGGAACAAAGCCACTTATACCTATACCTCAAGGTATAGGTAAATACCTATACCTTATACCTCAAGAGAACCCCTTTTGAGTTCTCTTTCTGAGGACCTGGCTGTGAGGCAGTTTATGTTGCCTGGACCCTGTGAGGTCTGTTCCAGCGCCTGGTCTCCCCTGCTCTGCAGAACATGAGCTGAGAAAACGTGCTGTAGTCAGACACAACCCCACCAAGAAGAGTGGAGTCAGCCTGGAGAAGATAGGAAGCTGCTATACCTGGAGATGCTGGACACGCAGACAGCAGGACTGACAAGCTGACGATCAAGGAAGTCACTAGAAACGAGAGACAGGGAGGAAGGTAGGCCTCATACTTCACAGTGAAGAGGCAGAGGCATATCCTCGGACTCACATTACTTCAGAGAAGAAAGTACATACATCTGTCAGACAGTAAGGAAAGATAGCCAAGTTGAAGCATGTTACGGTAAAATAGGATAGAAAAAGGATTTTTCGATACAATGAATTGCCTCAGATCTGACAGGGATATGTGACTGGCATTATACCATTAACAGCATTTAAGACTAAAAAGACAACTGACAAAGGCTTGGCCAATTTTTCAAAAGACATACTGGAAAAAAGCCCCCCAAATCTCTCAGTGAAGGGAATGCTGTATTCCTTTATATTTTTCCCTCTGGGCAGGCATGGAGGACATGTGTTACTTCTCTGTGGAGAATGTCAGATTTTCAGGTAGCCATGATGTGAGTGTGAATCATCTTCTGTAGATCATAAAAAGGCAATTTTAAAGTAGTGAAACCAAGATGATTTTGAAGGAAATGTTGTAAGGAATTATAACGAACAATGATTGAAAATGGAGGTTTGGGCTGTGGAACCTGTATCTTTGAACTTACCCAGCGTGGCCTGTGGGAAAAATAAAAGAGAAGCCCTGATGAGGCATGGTCTGACTTGATCTGATACACAATTATACAAAGGATGCATTCATATTACAATATTGTAAACAGGGAAAGAGCTGTGTATGATAGCCCATCAAAAAAGTGTGTTTGAGATCCAACACCTTGATACTAAAAGAGATATAGTCACAGGGCACCTGGGTGGCTCAGTCAGTTAAGCGTCTGACTTCAGCTCAGGTCATGATCTTGCAGTTCATGAGTTCAAGTCCAGCACTGGGCTCTGTGCTGACAGCTCAGAGCCTGGAGCCTGGAGCCTGCTTTGGATTCTGTGTCTGCCTCGCTCTCTGCCCCTCCCCCGCTCATGCTCGGTCTCTGTCTCTCAAAAATAAATACACGTAAAAAAAAAAAAAGAAATATAATCTGTGCATGAAAACCACTAGTTAGAAACTTATACTGTTCTGTACATGATTTTAAAATATCAAGATAGGGGCACTTGGGTGGCTCAGTCACTTAAGTGGCCAACTCTTGATTTTGACTCAGGTCATGATCTCATGGTTTGTGAGTGTGAGCCCTGCATTGGGCTCTGTGCTGACAGCACACGGAGCCTGCTTCAGATCCTCAGTCTCCCTCTCTCTGTCCTTCTTCCACTCGTGAGCTCTCTCAAAAGTAAATAAATGTAAAAAAAAAATTAAAACCATCAGAATAAATATTTTTTTTCAATGTTTTTATTTATTTTTGGGACAGGGAGAGACAGAGCATGAACGGGGGAGGGTCAGAGAGAGAGGGAGACAGAGAATCGGAAACAGGCTCCAGGCTCTGAGCCATCAGCCCAGAGCCTGATGCGGGGCTCGAACTCACGGACCGCAAGATCGTGACCTGGCTGAAGTCGGACGCTTAACCGACTGCGCCACCCAGGCGCCCCCAGAATAAATATTTTTAAATGTTCTCATGCACATTGGAAAGCCTGAAATTCCATGCATTGCTTTGATGTCTCTGAGCCTTCCCCGGCCCCGCCCCCCCAGAGCCTCACTGGGAGTTCCCTGCTTTCCTCAGGTCTGTCCCTAACAAGTGAGAAATCTCACACTGGGTAGTTCCCTATCATCTGGCCTCACTGTCCCCCACCTGGACTTCAACCTAATAGTTTCACTTTTCTGTAGGCTAGCAAAATTACCAAGACAATTCCATCCTTAGTAGGGACCAGGGGTCACCTCCCACTCTTGCCACTACAGAGCCTACGTCTCATGGCCCCTGCTGGTTCATCTTGCCATGTGGGCCTTGCATGCAACTCCCATGTGGGCCTTGCATGCCGTGTAGTGCCCTCCTCCCCCAGGCTGGGAGTATTGTAAGTGACCCACTGCCATTACTGGGGACTGTGCATTTGACCATCTCATGCCTTTTAGGGCCTGGGATCCCTACTTCACCAACAGGGTGAATAGGAGGTGGTCAGAATAGCATGTAGGCATAAGCTTTGGTGTTTCTCCTTCCTTTCCCAAATGCATCCTGGCAGCCCTTTTAGCTCCAACCAAGGTCAAATCAGGACTTGGTCTCTTAGGAAGTTTTTGCCGTGTTATCAATGTTTTCAAGTGAGTTATAGGTTCTCCCCGTGCACTGCAAGGTCCTATGCTTTCTTTGCCTGTAAAAGATAGCTCATTAAGCTCTAATCCAATAGCCCAATAAAAAAGGAACAATAGAGACAAAGCAGTTGAAGAAATCATAATGCATTTTATAATTCTTCCTGAAATCTGGTCCAAGCTGGCCTGGTTAGAAATCCATTTCTAAGAAGAAAGAACTACTTTTAAAAAGAAAAGAACTTTTATGAACCCTTGCTATTATGCATGGCGCAGAGTTATATGAAGAAAATAAATCATTTTAATATGTTTACCAAAGCTTATAGTTACTCGTGACAATAAGAATGGGTGTTAAGTCCATAGATTAGGGGTTGCAAACTCAACTCATGACAAGAACCAGGCAGGTAATTAAATGGCTGAAGCAGGGTGGAGGATGATCTAATTTTAAATGTTGGCAACTAATTAAAATGTATTAAAAGTCCTGCATAAGCCAAACAAAACACATCTGGGGACCACATGTCCAAGGGCAAGCCTAGAGCAACTTTTGAAATCCTGTTAATTCTTCAAGGCCTGAATTGTGGGCATGCCCTTCCAAGAATCCTATGACTGCAGGGGTGGGTCAGGCTGAGCCTGCCCTTCCTGGAGCTTTTATTGAACTGGTCATGAGAAGTACAAACGATGGCCCTTTTGTTCCCTCACTGTTGCCTCAGTGGGGCTTTTATTCCTCGCAGGATTGAAGGTCCTTGGGAACAGAGACCATGTTTTATGTTTCTCTCATTGTTTTCACACCTTTTAGTTCCTGACTCAATAATAATAATCATAATAATAATAATAATAATAAATATAATAATGGCAGCAGCTACCATTTATAAAGCTCTTTCCATGAGTCTGACCCATTTCTTTTTTTAAAAATTTTTTTACATTTATTTATTTTTTGAGAGACATAGAGAGACAGAGCACACGTTAGGGAGGGGAAGAGAGAGAAGGAGACACAGAATCTGAAGCAGGCTCCAAGCTCCCAGCTGTCAGCACAGAGCCCGACATGAGGCTCGAACTCACAAACTGTGAGATCATGACCTGAGCCGAAGTCGGACGCTTAACCAACTGAGCCACCCAGGCGCCCCGAGTCTGACCCATTTCTAATGGGTTTTACTTATATGATTTAATTTTCACAATCCTTGTGAGGGAGGTACTATTGTCATCCCATTTTACTGATTGGCCAGCCGAGGCACGGAGAAGTGAAGTGACTGGCCAAGGTCGCCCAGCTGGTGAGGTGTGGAGCCAGTTAATTTGGCCAGTCGGATTCCACAGCATGTGTGCTCAGGCACTACAGTACAACTATTAACTAGTTCAACATAGTTGTTTTCTAGCTAAGAATTTTAAACTTTCTTGCGCCACAATGTTTCGCACATAGTGCTAGTGACTCTTAAGATGGTGAGCTGAAAAACCTTTCTGTTTTATTTCCGCCTCTCTTCCCTTTCTGTCTTGTGTCCGCTTTTGATTCCTAGTAAGGGATGGAATAGTGGAATTAACATACAGCAACGATCCCCGTAAGAAGCCAAAATAGCCACATAATATTTGTTCTTACTCTTTGCTCAAAATTAAGCGGATGTCGGTGCAGGCTCACCAGTCTGGAAGTTTTGTGTGGGCACTCCGCAGCCAAATCGCCAGATAAGAGATACTGAACAGTTTTGCGAGAAGAACTTGAGAGGAAAGAGGGAAGGTCTCGGCGGTGAGGAGTTTGCCCTTTCTGCAGTTGACAGCGGCGAATAAATTACTGGTGAGATGAACTGGGAAAGGGTCTAGGGTTTTGTGACTGCAGGCATATCAATATTTGACCCCTGCTTCATTAGTGTTTCTTCTCTAGGTGGAAGAGAAACGATTCATGCATCGGACTTTTTCATTGTGTACTCAGGATCATAAAACATATTTGATAAACATTTCTGAGACCAAGTTGCTCTGAGATTGTGTTATCGTTACTAACTATTCTTTGTGTAATAGCAGAACTTGCTTTGTAAGACACAAATGACCCTATTCTCCTGGTCTGAATGGAAGATGGAGATTTGCTCGTCACATCCACCCGTGTATGTTCTGGTATGTTCTAAGTTTATATTATTATTATTACCTTTTATTTAGAGAGAGAGAGATAGAGAGCAAGTGGGGAAGGGGCAGAGGGAGAGAGAAAATCCCAAGCAGGCTTCGCACTGTCAGTGCAGAGCCCGATGTGGGCCTCAAACTTACAAACCGTGAGATCATGACCTGAGTCGAAGTCAAGACTCGGAAGCTTTGCCAACGGAGGGACCCAGGGGCCCCTGTTATGGTATGTTCTAACACCTCTTGAGAGTTGCTTGGCTCTCCAGCTGTTGAGAAAAGCCTTAACGGTTTGCTTTCTAGAGCCAGGATACAGGCACTGTGGGAGGATGTAGAAAAGAATAAAAATGGACTCCTTCACCTTCTCTATCTCAAGTCCTCTCCTGGCCAGACTGCTGCAGACAGAGGTGGCACATGGCCTCTGGACATAGCCCTTCAATGCTGCTGTGAACATGAATCATGATGATATTTTGAGAAGTCCTTCTACTGATGCTCAGGCTGAAAGCCGTGGTCACTTGACCACATATCTGCACCTAACATGTCAACATCCTCTCCATACACCTCAGTCCTTCTGCTGCCAATCACAGCTTGTCTATCTTAAGTCCCATCCCCTCAGGACCCTGCATTCTTTGCAATGATAATGGGTCCTAATGGAATAATTTGAGAGACTAATCTCTGATAATGTTACTCTTCTCAAGAAAAGTCTATTTTAGTCTAGTTAAAATGCAGAGCACCTTTAGAAGGTCTTTATGGAGTGACAGGAAAATTGGAAATTTCTGACAGACCAATCAAGAGGAGATATTTTGGTGAGTGAAGCCTTTTATAACTCCACAACTTATGCCAGCTAAGGAGACGGCAGCTGCCTAAAACTCATAGATGTGCAATAACTCATGTAGCAGTGATCTAGCTGTGGTCACACACACACACACACACACACACACATACACACACACACACTCCCTCTCACCTCTTCAGGATATATGAATATTAACTCACGGTGCTACGCTGAAAGCCTAGCAACCAAAAGGTAGAAGTTTGCATAGTCTAACAAAAAATGCATAGAAAATTTTATCCGATATAATTTGACATTTAAAGGGGTATAGAACAATTTGATGATGCTCAAAATTTTTCAACACCTGAAATATTTCATTATTGAGGAATGTTTAGATATATTTTGTTATGCCCATCAATGAATATTGTACTATGCAATTATTTAAATAGAAAGGAAGGTGAGCGAACAAATTCAAAAAGTACACACACACACGCAGAAATACACACCTATATATTTGTGAGACCATACATATTCCAGTGTAAGACAGGAAGTCTATAGAACAATATCTGAGCTGTGTGTGTGTGTGTGTGTGTGTGTGTGTGTGTGTGTGTCTGAGGATGCCTCTAATGTTAAGCTTTATCTTTCTTTGCATTTTGGACAATTCACATGTATCATTTGAAAAGTAATTAATAGACGAATGCAATGGTGATGAAAGAAATAAGTCTCTGTGTGTCACGACAGCACCAGCTCTTGATTTGTTACCAGATAAAGAGGCAGACAGCCTCCAGTCCTGTTTTTCCTCATCTACAAGATGTACTATATCAACATGGTCCTGGCAAGCAAGGCCCAGTGTTTCTATATCCTGATGGGAGAAGGCAAAGGGTAATTAGTGCCTCCTGAAGCAGGAAAGGCAGGTGGGTGCTGGGCTTCATGTTGGGCATGCAAAGCCTTTCTCAGCAGAAGTGAGGGTGCCGGAGGCTATCTTGGTGGCCGTCCTGGCCTGGAAGCCAGTGTGCTTTGCTCTGTCTGTTCCCCCAACACACTGCCTATCCTAACCCCACTTTTAGCAATTTCCTCTTGCTTGATTTCACAGCACCAGTGAGTTAGCTGCACTAGCTGAGTGTTCTGCAGGTTGACTGAGTGAGCACTTTTTGATGAGAACCACTCCCAAGTGACTGCTTTTGGTCAGGATCTTTGGTGTTGGGACAACTGCAGACTCTGGCTTCTGGGACCACCCGAAGACCCTAAGGTCTTCTAAGCTCCTAAGACCCTAAGCTCCTCTAAGTCTGAGGAGCTGTTCTAGTGTCCTTCAGCCTCCCTGCCAAGCCTTGTTATGAGGGGCAAATAAATAACAGAGATTGTTTTTACATTACAGTAAAAAATGACAGAATTCTGCTTCTGTCCCCAGTGGAGCAATGGAGACTGCATTTGCCCATCCATGTTAAATAACCAAATCTAGAAAAATAATTCAAACAATGGGTTGCAGAAACAGGACACCAGGGAGCACAGGATACTGATCCACAATAGAGGAGAAAGAAACAAGGTAAGTATCTATGATTGTCCTACCTTCCTTCCTAGAGAGAGTTTCCATGCCATAGCACAGGGAGGGGGAAGATAGATAGAGTCCAGAAGTCTCCCTGAGTTAGGAGAGATAGACTTCAAAATTTTGTTAAGCCCAGGTGGCTGAAATTTGCAGGGAAGAATATTGGAGAAGAGAGAGCTGCTCCCCACATGAGAGGGGCACAGAGAGCGAGCTCTGGAGATCTCAAGGCTCCCAGCTCACCCTAAGTCCTCAGCTGATAGTGATCAGTGCATGCATCTGAGGAGACTATTTGAGGACAGGGAAAGAGCTACTGGAAAGGGAAGATTGAACAACTCATAAAGCTTGCACAGGGCGAGGAAAGCCTTGTGTTTTTCTAGATAGCTTAGAGAAACCCTATATTGTGTGGACATCAGAGTTGGTTCTAGACTAAAAGCTGTTGTGGTTTCACCCAACAAAGCTTGAAGTAGAACCTTGAAAGGTTTAAACTGTGTATTAGTAACTTAGCTGCACCTTGGGATAAAACTCAAGAATATTTAAAGGTATGGAAAAATACCCAACACTCAATAAGATGAAATTTGCAAAGTTTGGCCTCTCATCTAAAATTCCTTGTCAGGCAAAGAAGCAAGGAAGGGCAGCCTGTAATGAGGAGAAAAATTAACAGAAAGAGAGAAAGATGACACAGACAGTATAAAAATAGGCACAGAGATTAAGATTTATTATAAATAGACTCCATATATTCAAGAAGGTAGAGGAAAGAATGACCATATGAAAGAAATATATGGAAGATATGAAAAAGGGGCTACTCAAACTTTTAGATAAAAAATACAAAGTCTGAGATGAAAAATACACTAGAGGAAACTAATAGTAGATTAACTGCAGATCACACATTGTTGAGGAAAAGATAAGTGAATATGAGGACATGAAAGAAGAAAAGAAACCATCTAAACTTAAAAATAAACAAAAGATGGGGCACCTGGGTGGCTTAGTCGGTTAAGTGTCTGACTTCGGCTCAGGTCATGATCTCACAGTTTGTGAGTTCGAGCCCTGCATCCAGCTCTGTGCTGACAGCTCAGGGCCTGGAGCCTGCTTCAGATTCTGTGTCTCCCTCTCTTTCTGCCCCTTCCCTGCTCATGCTCTGTCTCTCTCAAAAATAAAATAAGCATTCAAAGAAACTTAAAAAATAAAAGGTGAACCATATCAGCTCTGGGATGACTTCAGGTGTTTTAAGGTAAATGTAACAGAGAATTCCCCAAACAGAGGGGGTTAGTACAGGAAAACTATTTGAAAAATAATGGCTCTAAAGAATGAGAAGACAAGCCACAGACTAGGAGAAAACATCTCTAAAAGACACAACTGATAAAGGACTGTTATTCAAAATACACAAAGAACTCATAGAACTCAACTCTAAGAAACTGAGCAACCGGATTTAAAAATGGGCAAAGGAGATGAACAGACACCTCCCCCAAGAAGATATACAGATGGGAAGTAAGCATATGAAAAGACATTCAACATGCACACCCACCAATGGCTAGAACCCCCCAAAATGGCAACAACAAATGCTGATGAGGATGTGGAATAATGCAAACTCTCATTCACTTCTGGTGGGAATGAAAAAAATGGTACAAACACTTTAGAAGACAGTTTGGCAGTTTCTTACAAAACTGAACATATTCTTACCATACAATCCAGCAACTGCACTCCCTGATGTTTATCCAGATGAACGAAAACTTATTTCCACACAAAACCCTGCACAGAGATGTTTATAGAAGCTTTATTTACAATTTCCCCAAACTGGAAAATAGATGAATCATAAATAAACTGTGGTACCTCCAGGCAATGGATTATTATTCAGCTAAAAAGAAATGACCTATCAAGCCAGTCATGGGGAAAAAAAACTAAATGTGTATTTCTAAGTAAAATAAGTCACTCTGAAAGGCTACATACTGTATGATTCCAGTTATATGGTATTCTGGAAAAGGTAAAATTGTGGAGACAGTAAAAAGATGAGTGGTCACCAGTGGTTCCATCCTAAGAAGGAATAAACTAGCATAACAAAGGGGATTTTTAGGGCAGTGAAACTATTTTGAGTGATACTACAGTGGTGGATACATGACATTATATACTAATGAAAACCCATAGAACGTATGATACCAAGATTAAACTCTGACAGCAAGCTTTGAATGATAACCATGTGTCAATGTGGATTCACTGATTGCAACAAATGTAGCAATCTGGTGTGGCAAGTCCATAGTGGGGGAATGAACAGGAGGCTATGTGGGATGTTTCTTCATTTGCTTCTCAGTTTTGCCGTGAACCTAAAACTTCTCCCCAAAATAAAGTTTATTAGTTAAAAAACAGTGGCCAGAATTTTTCTAAAGTTGATAAAGATAATAAACTCAGAGGTCCAAAAATTTCAGCAAGTTGTTACTACAAATAAAACCAAAAATGAAAGTGCACCATAAAATTTCTATTCAAATTGTTTATAACCGGTCACAAGGAGAAAATCTTAAAAACACTTAAGAAAAGATACATTGTGTATAGAGCACAAGGGTAAGAACAAGAGCCAATTTTTTCATAACAGAAGCCAGAAAAAAATACAGCAACCTTTTTGAGATATTTAAACAAACAAAAACATGTCAACCTAGAATTCTATGTCCAGTGAAAGTATCTTTCAAAAGGAAGAAGAAACAAAGCCTCCTTCAGACAGACAAAAGCTGAACGTGTTAATTACTGTTAGACTTTTACTCTAAAAATGGTAAAGGTAATCCTTTGGACAGAAGAAAAATGTTACCAGATACAAATCCCAGTTTACATAAAGGAAGGACTAGCACTGGAAATGATACAATGATATAAAAGCTGTGTTTTTGTTTCATTTTACAAATCTCTTTACAATATAGTGCAGTGTTTAAAATTACCAAGGCTGAGGGGCGCCTGGATGGTTCAGTGGGTTGGGCATCTGACTTCTGCTCAGGTCATGATCTTGTGGTCATGATCTTGTGGTTCATGGGTTCCAGCCCCTCATCAGGCTGACAGCTGGGAGCCTGGAGCCTGCTTCGGATTCTGTGTCTCCCTCTCTCTCTGCCCCTCCCCCGCTCACACTCAGTTTCTGTCCTCTCCCAGAAATAAACATTATAAAATAAAATTAACAGGGCTGAATTTTGGAATTTATAATGTATGCAGAAGTACACAGAAGTGTGTTTGTTCTCTTGACTATAAGAGAGCAGAGGCTGGGAGACGAGGAATGTAAGTGTATCATGGTAAGGTCCTTTTATTGAAAGTAGACTACGGTAAGTTAAAGAGATACAGTACAATCTCCAAGGCATCCACTAAAAAACCAAAACAAACCAATAAACAAAAACAAGTCCACAACAAGGTATAGCTGTTAGATCAATAAAGGAGATAAAATGGGATAATAAAAATATTTTATCCAAAGAAGACTGAACAGGAGAGAAAATGGAACAAAAAGTAAGTGGGGCACATAAAAAATAATAAGCAAGATAGTCGCGTTAACCACAATCCTATCAATAGCTATGTAATATGCATATGGCTGGACAGTCCAATTAAAGGGCATAGAGCCATATATTAAATTTAAAAAGCAAGTCTTTAAAATTAAAATTAAAAGTTAAAATGCAGTCTGCCTACAAGACACACATTTTAAGTGTAAAGGCACAAATAGGCTAAAAGTAAAAGGATAAGATAATATGTGACATACTAACATTAAGTAACAGAAGGCCAGATTGGCTTAGGTTTGGCCAGGATATGTTACACTGAACACCAAATGCATGAACTGTAGAAAAAAGTGATTAAATAGAACTTCACTGAAACTAAAACATTTGTTCTTTATAGGACACTTTTACAGAAATAAAAAGATAAGTCATTGGGAAAAATGTTTTTAAAATAGGTATTTGACCAAGGGCTTACATTTAGGCTATGTAGAGAACACTTACAATTCAAAATTAATATGACAAAAACCTAATTTAAAAATCGCTAAAAGATTTGACTACTTTACTGAAGAAGATATATGGATATCATATTAATACTTTATAGGTTGCTCAATATTCAGAGTTCTTTATGGAAATGTAAATGAAAACCCCAAAGAGTTGTTCATATAAAGCTTCTAGAATCCCTAATATTAAATTTTTTTTTCAACGTTTATTTATTTTTTGGGACAGAGAGAGACAGAGCATGAACGGGGGAGGGGCAGAGAGAGAGGGAGACACAGAATCGGAAACAGGCTCCAGGCTCTGAGCCATCAGCCCAGAGCCCGACGCGGGGCTCGAACTCATGGACCGCGAGATCGTGACCTGGCTGAAGTCGGACGCTTAACCGACTGCGCCACCCAGGCGCCCCGAATCCCTAATATTAAAACACTATTTTAAGAGTGGGTAATGACCCGAAAGAACTGAAATTCTCATACACCCAGATGGGGATGTAAATGGTGAACCATTTTGGAAAAAAGTTTGCCAATTTCTTGAAAAGCAAAAAGCATACCTACTAGATGACACAGATATTCTACTCCTAAGCATTTATCCAAGAGAAATGAAAACATTTGACTGCATGAAGATTTGCATAAATGTTCATAGGAACTGTAATTTTTTTAAATTTAAGTTTATTTATTTATTTTTGGGAGAGGGACAGAGAGAGAGAGAGCAGGGAAGGGGCAGAGAGACAGGGAGAGAGAGAATCCCAAGAAGGCTCTGTACCAACAGCACGCTGCCTGATGCAAGGCTCAAACTCATTAACCATGAGTTCGTGACCTGAGCCGAAACCAAGAGTTGGACGCTTAACTGACTGAGTCACCCAGGCGCCCTGCAGCTTTAATTTTTAATAGCTAAAAACTGGAAACAACCCATATACCCATCAGGAGGTAAATGGATAAATGCCTTGTGGTATATCCATATGATGGAAAAATAATCAATGATTTAAAAAGAGTGAACTTTTATTTTTTTCAACAGTTAAAAAATGTTTATTAATTTTGAGAGAGAGAGAGAGGGAGAGCATACGACTGAGTGGGGGTGGGGGGTAGCTCAGAGAGAGAGGAAGAGAGAATCTTGAGCACGCTCCACACTGTCAGCACAGAGCCTGACTCGGCTCAGTCTCACGAACGCAGAGATCATGCCTTGAGCTGAAATCAAGAGTCAGTTGCTTAAATGACTGAGCCACCCAGGCACCCCCAAAACAGTGAACTTTTAAAATACACAACATTATAAATGAGTCTCTAAATAATTATGTTGTGTGAAAGAAGCTAAGTGCCTACCTACAAAAATGATTACGTATCATATGATTCCACTTATATATAATTTTAGAGAATGAAAATTAGTCCATGTGATGTAAAGCAGATCATTGGTTGCCTGGGGTGGGGTTGGGGGGAGTCATGGAAGGGCAGTAAAGATTGATAGAAAAGGGGCTCAAAGAAACTGTGGGTATGATAGACAACGTTCATCCTAAGGGTGGTGATGATCTCACGAGTGTATACGTACGTCAAAACTAATCAAATTATGGTCTTTAAATATATGCAGTGTTTTATGTGTCCATTATACCTCAATAAAGCTGTAAAGTTTTGAAGATGCCAGATGAGACATTGGTAGAGCAGGGATGGCCTCCCAAAATATGGCTACCTGAATCCAAAGTATAACTCTGTGCAAGCTGATCAGCGTCTGCACCGGAGGTTGGGACTTCCAGGTTTAATAGCAAAGGGAATGTTCAGGGCGAGAACTTCCTTATAAGGAGAACTCAGGGTTTGGCTTTGTGGAGCAGTCTGTTGTATCATGGAGTTCAATACACTCTATGCTGCATTGCCTTACAGTACAGACCCGTAGAAAGGAGAAAGGTGGGTTATTTGTAGATGAAATATCAAGGGAACACAATATAGCAACCAGGCACTGGCTTTGATAGTCATGACCTTAGATCTTAAACATAGGTAATGAAAACATGTGGAAGGTGATCTGGTACTGAAAGTTATGAAGAAATGGTTTTCTAAAGCCACGTATGAAAATTAGCCTCGCCTTTAAATATCCGGGTATGTCCAAATGCCGTTACAATACACTGGTTGCCATTAGAATGGAGTAAAGCACAAATACTCTTCTGTCTGGAATAGATGGATTTCATCTAAAAGTACCAGCAAAAATTTATTTTTACATGTCAATAGAATTATATTTGTATTGCGTTGTAAGAAATATTATTATTTTTTTTAATTTTTTTTTCAACATTTATTTATTTTTGGGACAGAGAGAGACAGAGCATGAACGGGGGAGGGGCAGAGAGAGAGGGAGACACAGAATCGGAAACAGGCTCCAGGCTCTGAGCCATCAGCCCAGAGCCCGACGCGGGGCTCGAACTCACGGACTGCGAGATCGTGACCTGGCTGAAGTCGGACGTTTAACCGACTGCGCCACCCAGGAGCCCCAGAAATATTATTTTTTAATTTTATTTTATTAGAAATGCTTATTTATTTTTGAAAGAGCACGCACACAAGCAGGGGAGGGGCAGAGTGAGAGAGAGAGACACACACACAGAATCTGAAGCAGGCTCCAGGCTCTGAGCTGGCAGCTCCATGCGGGGCTGGAACCGACGAACTGTGAGATCATGACCTGAGCTGAAGATGGATGCTTAACCAAGTGAGCCACCAATGCACCCCTGTAAGAAATATTATTATGTTCCTGTTACATACCATGAAGAAAATGTTGAGGAAAGGTGAATCCTTATGGCTTATTTGACTTTATTAGTAGAACCAGACTCAAGAAGAGACCACCTGAACCCAGTAATTTAGATTTAATATTCTTTTTATTGTAATATCGTGCATGTTGTTTCCTTAGAGTCCTACATTAACCCCTCCCCAAGAGGATGGGTTAAAGGAACTCCAAGAATTTGGTGGAAAAAAATAGAAGTGACAAATACATATCACTACAAAAATTATTGTAGTTATGTTGCTCTTAAATAAGATTAGAAGTTAGTGAAGTAAAACATTAGCAAATGTGGAATAGTCTCCCTGTCAGAAATCCTTAGAGCCCCTAAACATACTATGTAAATATGGAATATATTATGGCTTAATGCGCTCTCTGACTGTATAACAATTGTAGTATTTTAGTCATCAGAAAAAAAAAAAAACCCTACCTATACAAACCTTAAATATTGTGGACATATTTTACCCTTGTATCATATGTACCATCATGCCAAGGGCTGTGACTTTATGGTAGCTGAAAACAGATACTTCTCTACAAAATGTAATTTTATGTTGATTTTATTAATTTTGATATATAATGAAATTTTTTTTAATGGATAAAAAACAGGTTGGAGTTGTGTGAGTCAGACTCCCATTAAGTGTAATTCCTTTTTTTATTCTGGGAAATTCTCTCTTACATTTTACAGCATAGACCCCAAATCCAGAAATTACTAATTAGTGATCTTTATCTTTTATGCACATCTATCTCTACAGTGATGAGATCCATACGGTGGGTGCACAAAAAATGCAGTCACTCATTATTGTACAGATTTTGCCCAACATAAAAGTAAATTATATTGAACTCACTAAAATTTTATCAAGGGATTTGTAAGAAGATCTGCTAATTTGGTTATAGAAGATCCTTAACATGGGGGAGACTGGCTGGCCCAGTCAGGAAAGCATGAGACTCTTGATGTTGGGTTGTGAGTGCAGGCCCCATGTTGGGCCTAGAGCTTACTTGGAAAAAAAATGCTTAAAATTCTTTAGTAATTGTGAAAATATGTAAAAGAGAAGAATGATGATTTCATGGGAGGGAAAGCCAAAACCATAACAAAATTCCATTTTAAGGTACGAAATGTAACGTGTTCCATGGGATAACAAACTCTACCTGACCATCACGATCTGAGTCCAATGTGGTCTAATAATGAATATACTGTATACAGTAAAAATAGGCTTGCTTTGACACCACAAATTGTATTTGGCATCCTAATCATTTATCACCTCTCTGTATGTCTTCAGAAATAATGGCTAATTGAACAATCTATTCACACAGAATATTGCAGAAGATTTTAATGAGGCAGAAAATGTCAACATTTCAATGGGTGATAGGTTTTGTTCAGAGCAGCTGGAAGTTATGAATTGCCAATTAGGAAAACTTTGGTAATCTGGGTAATCTTTGTTGCTTGTCCAGGATTTATCTGAGTTTGGGAGCCATAAATTTGGGAATAAAATAATGACCTGGGGGATTATTCTCTTATGTTGTGAAATATATTCGTATAAAATTTCCAATTTCATGTCATGCAGATTGAACCGCATAAAACAGCATTTAAAAGGTGAGTCTTTATAAAATTAATTAGTAAAACGTAACTATTTTGGTTTATTGACTTTTTCTGTTCTCTGCAGAACATAAAGGGAAGAAGAGAATTAAAATGAACGTTTTCCAGTTGATTTGATCAGTGTAGACAGCTTAAGTAATTAATCCGAGTATCAAAACAGATCATTTTCCACAAAAGAATTGTATGATTTGTATGACAAGCAGACTGTGCAATTGTGAAATAATTCCTTACATTTGTGTTGTCTGAACCTAATTTTACTAATTAACCTACTTTCACAACTGATTTTGCAGAACCTACATGGGAAGAAAGTACTCCTTGACAAACTCACCCGCAAAAGAACATATGTGTAAAGAATTTCTCTATGTGAATAAATAATTTTGATAAAACACATCATTAAATGAAGAATGAGGGCATCTGGAATCTTTCATGTACCTTTTGCTTCTGTGGTGGATCTTTAGGGGAACATTTCTCAACGTTGCAGTTAGAACTTCGCATCTTTGATTCTTTTGGATTTGGAAGGTGTCTTCTTTGATTTCTATAGAATGGTCTGGTTTCCATTTACCAGAAGGTACAGATAGAAGAAAGAGAAGACTATTTGGTGAAAAACTACATGATTCGTAATATTTACATGGCAATTTATTCTGATCAGCTGAATAACCCTAATCAAAATGTGTGAACTCTGACATTATTTTGTTCTCCACTTGGAAATGATTTCTGTCCTTGGACTTTGATCCACATGTTGCAAAAGAATATTTTAAAAAGAGAATAATTACCCACCATGCTTTGTCACAGTGTCCATTTTTCCCACCAAGGGAATGGCCACTGCCACCTGAGAACAAAAAAGTTCTCTTATTTACTAACGACGTCCTTAGTTTTCCTTTGTGTCATTTTCCCCCTTATGTATGTGTTTTTTACGCTTCTTTGCCATCCTGCTGTGAGGAAGAATAGTAATCACATCTAATTAGAAAAAATTAAAATGCTATGACTCACAGAAATAATGAAAGTTGATTATTTTTTATACAAGGCATAAATCCCAGACCCACATTTTACCCTTCAAATTAGCTTACAAGCTGATCAACAGCGTGGTAACGGTATTGTGAACGTTTATCGTGGTGCTCTTTTTTCTACATGCACCACGCTTCATGCTGCCAACCGTGTCATGAAAGACTCATCTTCTCTTATGCAGAAAAAGAGAGGCCAGTTTGATTTTATTTTTATTTTTAATTAAAAAAAATTATTTTGGTTAAGTTTATTTATTTATTTTTGAGAGACAGAAAGAGTGCAAGCAGGGATGAGGCAGAGAGAGAGGGAGACAGAGAATCCCAAGCAGGCTCCACACTGTCAGCACAGAGCCCAAAGTGGGGTTGAACTCACCAACCATGAGATCATTACCGGAGCCACAGTCAGGATCCAGACACTTAACCAACTGAGCCACCCAGGCACCCCAAAATTTTTTGAAACCTTATTTTATAATGTTTTGAATTTCTTTCTTTTAGTATGTTAAGTCACAGCAACAAATGATAACGGGGTAATATCTGTGATTAAAAAAGAACTAACTGGGGCCCCTGGGTGGCTCAGTTGGTTGAGCGTCTGACTTGGGCTCAGGTCATGATCTCACAGCTTGTGAGTTTGAGCCTCACATCGGGCTCTGTGCTGACAGCTCAGAGCCTGGAGCCTGCTTCAGATTCTGTGTCTCCCTCTCTCTCTGCCTCACCCCCCCCCCCTCGCATTCTGTCTCTGTCTCTCTCAAAAATAAATAAACATTAAAAAAAAAGGAACTAACTAACAAATGTCTTTGGTTTTCCCTTTTAACAAGCTCCAGAAGTCTGTAGAACATTGTTTCCAATTTTGTTCAGATTTTTCCAGGTAAAGAGAAATAAAATGCAGTGTAGAGATCATTGCTTCCTTTTAAATGATGGCTATTTTTTTCCCCTTCCTGTTGGACTCAGCGTGAATGTTCTTTCTAGTTGTAGTCCAGTTCACAAAGATCCCTCCTGCACACAGGCATTGTGGTCTAACATATGCGGGGTGACAGTGGAGCAGAGGGAGACATTATACACAAATAGATTTGTGCCATAAACACATATGGGCATAAGGGATTGTCTAGATGGAAAGAGAAAAAAGAAGCCAACATAAAAACTTCAAAAGGATTGAACTGCAATTCTAGCATGCAAGAAATTCTCATTTGTCTATCTACTTACCTGACATAAGATTGTAGCTTTCTGAAATATAATGCGTTAAAATGTTTTTTTAAGTCCAATGATAAGATAATTCTGATAACACATCGGCATCGTGTGAACATGGGCCTATTCATCTGAGTCCGATACCCTCTTGGGGGGATAAGCTGCTTTTTTACTCCACAGGTGGGTGTATGTGAGCTGCAGCCATATTATATGTAGCTAAGTCAGCGGTGACTGTAAGAATTGGACAGCATTAGACACTGTGAGGTGTATTTATGTGGTGGAACAATTTTCCTGTGATGTCTTCTCAGTGTGCAGTGAAGAAAAAAAAGTTCCTGGAACTTCTATTAACAACTTTGCTGATGAAAATAAGATTGGAATCATGGCGGCGGGGGTGGGGGGGGGTGGAGAATATACAAATGTACAAAGTTACCTTTAGAGAAAGAACATCAGTGAATATTATTCCATGCTGAATGAAGAGAAGGAAAATATAGTGCCTTCTAGAAATTGAGAGTGGCTGTTTTTAAAAAGAGCAATTCTTTCATTGTGATATTTGTATGCTTATCTCTTCATTGTCTGCTTTTTTTGCATGAAGGGGTGTTGTTGGAAATAAATGCATATCATAAACCTAAAGTGGCATTTCAAAATGGGTTCTGTGAAGGTTATTGTATAGGAATAATATATTATTGTTCTATGTTGGAAAGAAAATGAATACATTTTTGTTCTCAAATGCTATCTCATATAAAAGTGGAGTCAGAGTTCAGGTTGTTCCTACAGCATGTGTTTATCTTCTTGGAACTGTCTCAGTGTCCTTCTTTTTAAGTGTACGTCGTGGTCAGCCTTTCTCATCATATCCTTTTGCAAACATTCCTGATGCCCTGGAACCCCTCTTGCTTTATCAGACTCATTTGGCAAAACTACAATGCAGGCAAAATCCAGCCCCCAGATCCACTCTGCACCTGTGTAAAGGAATGTGGCTAGAGAAAACACAGAACAAAACACAAAAACAGAACTCTGCCACCCTCTCAGTGTGTGCAAACCTCATATGCCCCTGCCCGCCAGGATCCAGCACTTTGCCCACTCTCTTTCCTCATCTTGCACTTTCTTCTAGCTCCTTACCCTCTAAGTTCAACCCCCTTCCCAGATGTCCTTGCTTCCCATTTTCCTGAGAAAGTTGAAATGGGAAGAGAGATCCCACAGCCCCCCAGCACCCCATGCTGTCTTCTCATGTTTCATAACATGAACTCTCTGAGTTGTGCACAAAAGCTGTCCCAGCTCATGTACTCTAGAATGCTGTACCAATAATTCTTCTCCTACATCACAAATGCCCCACCCCCGGTGAGATTATCCCTTGAAGAACACACTAATCCTATAACTTTTCCAATCTTAAAAAAATCTATTCCTTTCTCCCCCACCAATTACCCCATTACACCCATTACACCCCATTTCTTTGCTCCCCTTTACAGCAAAATTCCTTGAACAAGGCTGTGTATACATATGGTCTCCAATTCTGTTCCTCCTCTTCTCCTTGCAGTCCGTCTGTTCAGATTCTTTCATACCACTCTGTAAAAACTGCTTTGGGAAGGGACCACCAGGGACCAGCTCACTGAAGAGCCCAGTAATGAATTCTCAATCCACTTGATTTGACCTATCAGTGGCATTTGATATAATTCATCATTCTTTGATACACTGTTTTTTACTTCCACAGTAACACACAGTGTCAATTTTGCTCCTACAATTCTCTTCTTGGTAGTCTGCTGCTTGTAATATGGATTTCCTTTGCTATTTTAGAAAACTAAAGAAACAACAAACAAAAATAACCTCTGCAAGCTTATGGCAAGTTACAGTCAGGGGCCAGGAGTAAGAGCCCCCTAAACCTTTCCGACAGCAAGCATGTGTTTGCTACAACATTTTCCATCTGCTGGGCACCCTTGCCTACTTTGAGCTCTAATCCTTAATTCACACTGTCTGCAGGAAGGCCTATATGGCCCAGAGAAAGAAGTGTTACATATACACCACATAGTATAAGATTTGGGTACTGTGGTGATTTCAGCACACTTGCGTCCTCTCCTAAGTGTTAGTAGACCCCATGTTTTTCTCCTTGCTTTTCATTATATATATATATGTGTGTGTGTGTGTGTGTGTGTGTGTGTGTGTGTGTATACACACATATATACATATATACACATATATATAATGAAATAATATATATAACTTGTATTAATATATTATTACAATATTATAGAAATTACATTATTTAAATATTATTAATTAGTATCAATTGATATATTAATTATATTAATACAAATTATATTTGTATTTATATATATGTTATGTATTATATATTTATATGTGTATGTATATTATATGTATATGTTATATATATACACAAATTATGTTTGTATTTAAATATATATATTTATATTATATATATACATATATATGTGTATATATACGTATATATATTAAGGTTTATTTACTTTGAGAGATAGAGACAGAGAGAGTGTGCTGGGAATGACAGAGAGAGAGAGAGAATTCCAAGTAGGATCCACACTGCCAGCAGGGAGCCCAACATGGGGCTCAATCTCAAGGTACTGAGAGATCATGACCTGAGCCAAAGTCAGACGCTTGACTGAGCCACCCAAGCTCCCCTCCTTACAGGCTTTTGTAAAAATCTCAGTTGATGACAGCTCAGCCTTTTTAGTTGCTCATGCTCAAAACTTAGAGTCACTGTTCTCTCTTGGCTTTTTCTTATAACTCACATCCCATCAGCACCACCGTGTTACCATCTAGATCTAGGCCACCAGCATTTCCCACCTGAATTACTCCAATAGTCCATGGCCTGGCATCCTTGAGTTGACACCACCCTGCCCCTGCTCCCAGTTGTCTATTTTCAAAATAGTTACTAGAGTTATTTTTAAGAAAGGTTATGCCACACCTCTGCTCTTAGACCTGCAGTGGTGACCTGTTTTATTGAGAGGAAAGCCACTCCCTGCAATTAGTTGTAAGCCTTAATATGGTTTGGCCTCTGGACCATGATCTTCCTGATCCTATTGCTGGTAGTCTTTTCTATTCTCACTCTCCGCTTTATGATTTCCTTTCTGAATCCTCAAACACACAGCACCCTCTGCACTGGTTGTTCGTCTGTCTGGAATGTTTTTCTTTCAGGTACTTCTGTGGCCAAATTCCTCATCTTCATCAAGCCATCGGCTCTTTTCATTTATTTTTTTATTTTTAAATATGAAATTTATTGTCAAACTGGTTTCCATACAAACCCAGTGCTCATCCCAACAGGTGCCTTCCTCAATACCCATCGCCCACCCTCCCCTCCCTCCCACCCCCCATCAACCCTCAGTTTATTCTCTGTTTTTAAGAGTCTCTTATGGTTTGGCTCCCTTCCTCTCTAACTTTTTTTTTTTCCCTTCCCCTCCCCCATGGTCTTCTGTTAAGTTTCTCAGGATCCACATAAGAGCTGAGCACCTCTTTTTAAATGATAGGTTGGTCCTTGCCTGACACTCCCATCTCTTCCTCCTATGCTTTTTCCATTACTCTGATCAAAATACATCATTCACTTGTTTTGTTACTTATATATTGTCTGTTCTGCCTCACTCCCCTAAAATAAAGTTCCTCAAGGAAAAGGATGTTTGTCTGTTTTGTTCACCTAAATCAGAGGGTCTCACACCTAAGTGTGCAGCTGAATCAATCACGTGGAAGGCTTACCAAATCAATCATTGCTGGACCCCACTACTAGAGTTTCTGATTGGAAAGTGTATCCCAGGATCCAAGAATTTGCATTTCAATCAAGTTCCCAAATG